TTTAGAACGTCGACATGTGTCTGGAAAATCAATAGCAATTTAGAGTATAATAAAAAACACATCTGGTTTACAATTAATAACTTCTGATTGTGGACCATGAAGATAGGATATCAAAGAGAGCTACTAACCCCGTGGCCGCGAAGTTAATCCACGCGCTCAAGATGACTTCCCTGAGAGCGAGGTCGTCTTCCCTGGCGAGGTCTTGAAGTTCCTCTCGACCTAGCTGCAGCAGAGGCCCGCCGCGGAACAGGTAGAAGAGGTCGTCACAGTGAGAGATCCCTGTAGTGAAGAGGGGGTAGGGGGGAGGGTTCTGAGATTCGTGTGGTTTAGATGGCTGGAAATGCTCCTGGCCATGTCTGTCTGTTTTTCTATCACACGTCTCTCTCTCTCTCTTTCTTTCTCTGTCTTTCTCTCTCTCTCTCTCTCTCTCTCTCTCTCTCTCTCTCTCTCTCTCTCTCTCTCTCTCTCTCTCTCTCTTTCTCCCTCTCCCTCTCTCTCTCTTTCTCTCCCTCTCTCTCTCTTCCTCTTTCCTCCCTCCTTTATTCATCTATCCATCTGCATCTGAATTTATCCCTTTGTCTCTCTCTCTCTTTCTCTCTCTCTCTCTTTCTCTCTCTCTCTCTCTCTCTCTCTCTCTCAAACACACACACACGCGCGCACTCACACGGACGCACACACAGCACTTACACTGCGTCTTCCTCTCCTTGCTCAGAAGATCGCTGAACGTGAGCTCCGCGCGATGGTCGAGCGAGTAGCGGTACGTGTTGGCGACGCGCGAGTGGAAGAGCGTGGTCAGGTCATGGCCCAGGGAGAAATGGCGATCGGTGAAAAGCTGCCGGTGGAAAATTAAGTTTATTCATTTTTTTCTTATCATTTTTTCCTGTACGGTTTCTATAAACTGTCGTGGGAGTGGATTTTGAACTATGTGGCATGCATTACGTGTGGAATCAAGGTATTTTGTATTTCGGGCAGAAAAGAAGCAAGAAACCAAGGTATTAGATATTTCAAGTAGTTAAAAAAAGGGAAACACACGACCTTCATGAGTTGTTCATAGTGGTCGACGTCGATGAGAATGTCCCCCAGGTAGTACTGGAAGACTTTCGTGCTGCTGGCGACCGGATCGAGGTCTTCGGGTTCCAGACCGATGCTGATGGGGCCGCTGGCGGAGAAATTCTCTTGCAAGGCTCGAAGCGTGTTCTCGTTGGCTTCCAAGGCTGCATCGCCCTCACCGCCGTTGAAAAGTCGTTATTGGTGATCGTAAGAGAAAGTGTGTAACGATAACCCTCCGAACTGATAATGATAAATTCGCACTACAAGAGATTGTCTAACACTGAAATTCCCGATGTTTCCTGAAGTTTGAAAGCGCGGGCGAGCGAACATCACCTACCGTTGATGAAGAAGGCCCCCTCGTTAGCCGTGACCCCGGAGAGGACGTCGACGTGAGCGTGCCTGGCGTCCCGCAGTAGCACCTCCGGGTCGTCGGGCAGGAAGTCGCCGTCCACTCTCGGCCCCATCCGCATGGGGAAGAGGAACCACTCCTGTGCGTGAGGAAGGAGGGGGGGTTACGCGCCGGGAATTCCTGAACCAGATCGATTTTCCCCAAGTCCTCGGATTGTTAATGACGAATGAGGTTCATGGGGTAAATTGTGAGAGACAGATCGCTGGAAAAAAGCTATATGTTGCAAGGAGATTGGCGTCTCTGAGGGGAAGGGGGAGACAGACACAGGAATTCCTACAGAGTCAGGCATTGAAAGTAGAAATGGGAGGATCGAAGAGTCGCTGCGAAGGGCGTGGGGTTTGAAAGACTTTTTTACCCGCTGATAAGGCCTTCTAGAAAAATACTTATTATCCAATAATGAACGAAGGAACATACGATAAAAAAGTCGAACGACCAGACAACCATGAAGGGCCTTACAAAAAAGTCCTGCGACAACTCGACGAGCTGCCTGGCGTCTGCATCTTGGAGGCACTGCAGAAGGACGTCGCTGCTGGAGGTGTCTGAGCAGCCCAATGTCTCGCCTGCGTGTTGGGCGGCCCCGCGGTGTTGCCTGCTCACTGCCCATGGCGAGATGGCTGATCCTGACTGCATGATGGCTCTTTTGAACAGCCCTGCAGCACAACGCAATCCGGGTACAGGCGTTGAAAAGGAATGCAATAGTTTATCAAATGCATTCAGGAGAGATGAATAACAAATGATAAAGTTATAAATTGACTGTATATAAAGAGTAATCATAAATCAAGTAGTGAATAAAAAGGATAAATGAATCAGTAAGATATAGATAAATTATTAATAAAGTACAATAAGGCTTCCAAAGCATGGCCTGATGACAATAACCTTAGTACCGGAAACAACATGACAATCACAAACACCCCTAGGCTCTCCTATTTACACCCACCAGCAGATTTAGGAGACATTATGTGCAGGTGGGTGGAGGCGCCCCCAGCACTCTCCCCGAAGATGGTGACCCTCTCTGCGTCTCCGCCGAAGCTGTGAATGTTC